TCGTGCGGCCGTATCACTACTCGCTAAGTCGGCAAAGGGTTCCGCGTTGCATTTTGATTTCGTGGGTTTTTTTCGTTTTGTTTATGTATTCGATTTGCTTACGAGTTGCCGCGCACGTGGCTGGTTGCCAATCCTTTGGCAGGGACAGGTTAGCAAACCGGTTGTGACAACACTTCGGTTCGATTTCGTATGCCTCCCCATCACCTGGCCCGTTTGCGTTTTAATCTTTTTTTCTATAGAAGGAAAAACAGACGCGGGGGAGGGGGGGGGGGAGGGAGCGCTCCCGCCCCCCTCCCTTTCTTTGGTGAAGACGCTGCTACCACTTTCCTCACGAGCGCGCATTCCGTGTTTTGATATTAGCGGGAGATCTCACGACACGCATTCTTTGTTTGATAGTCTGAATTATGTTCCATAGTAGCGCGACTATGCGTGAAGCGAGGGGGGGGGGGGGGGGGGGGGGGGAGGGGGCGCCTTTGAGCATCTTCTGCTCATGCGCAGACGCTTTATCTCGCGCGAAGATGGTTTCAGCTAGATTTGCACGGCACTCGTTACAAGTAATAAAATTACTTGTAATCCATTACTTTTTGGAGTAATTTTGCATTAATCTTAATACATTTATTATGGTGTATAAACCGCTACCCTTCCTAATGGCGCCCTTTTTTCGCACCAGTCTCCTACCAATAAAAGAATCGCCGAAAACAATCTCCGATAAGATGATGCATCTACCGAAATTGGTTATGGAGAATATATAAGTATCGTCTATAGTTAGTTGATTCTATTTTTTTTTTTTTAATTTCAAGTAATCATAAAAGTAACGGTTACTTTGTCAGGTAACGGACAATTACTTTTCTTCTCAAGTAATCATGCAATCTAATTTTATACTTATTTAACTAAATGTAATTGTAATTCTATTCGATAACGCCCAATGGGGGAAAATGCGGCTTGTTTGTAAACGTAGTGGCAATGTACAGAAACGTTAGGTGTCAGGCCTGTGCCGCTGGTTTTCTCGCAGAATAATGATCCTCGATCAAAGGCTTTTGACAGGCGCAAAGAAACAGAAGTTTATTCGTGAGCTCGTAATTGCACGGATAGTCACTCGCCCATATATGCTCTTGCCCTTTTGAAAATTGGAACATCTCGTGAATAATTTTCCGCTCTAAGGAATATGGTGCATCTGCGCTGTGATACCGAGCACGAAGAAACGAGATGTTCAGTTCAGTCTCGTACACGTTATTGGGGGGAAAAAATAATTGATTACATCAGGGTTGACTCTTGCTTCAAAAGTATTCAATTAGATTACGTGATTACTTGAAACAAAAAGTACATTGGTTGTTACTTGAAAAAGTCACCGTTAGTTCTCCGATTACATTGGATTTCCGAAACGACTTTCTCCTGGTTTTGAAAATTGACCCTTCGTACCGCCTCTCATTGGACTAGAATCCCCAAATTACTTGTGTGGAAGATTTGGTTCTAGAATCTATTGGTAGAAAAATTGTACAAACAAAGGCTTGCTTTAGAATGGGAAGGGAAAACGAGTAACAATTATGTGTAATTTTAGTACATGCAAAAGTAACCAGATTACTGTTGCGACGACTTCCTCATAAGTGTAATCGAAAGATTACAAATTTACTCCAAAAATAGTCGAGTAAAACTAATTTGATTACCCGTAATGACGGTACCGTACAAGTCTGGTTCAGTGCCACAACACAAACCGTGCTTTTCTTTCTTTCTTGTTTTTTTGTTGAACCATAATGCTGGCTCCGCAAGTGGCCGAGCTGCCTACGTGCATTGGAGCGATTGGCTCGCTTTGCGGAAAAGCAGACGCACCAGTTTTCTTAGTGTGCAGGAATTAGTACCGCGTCACGTCGGTTGGCTCGGGGTGAGTGTTTTGTTCGGGTTCCTGCCTGGCGGGCGGAACAAGCTCGAAAAAGGAGAGGCTGCTCGGCTACCAAGCCGTGGACGAATGCGCCGAGTCTCATATTGATTAAAAGGTTAAAAGGCGCGAACAAACAGGACGTAAAAAGAGACACGTACGACACGGACAGGCGCCTGTCCGTGTCGTACGTGTGTCTTTTTTCGTCCTGTTTGTTCGCGTTTTTTAACCTTTTAATCGATGTGAACCAGCTAGCCCCAACC